ATTGTTTGTTTGTTCAATTAAATTGATGATTGTGAACAATTCATTTCGTTCGGTAGTGTTAGCGGATCTCATTTTCGATCAATGTTTCTTATTCAAGATTCGATAAGACAAGAAAGAAAGAGACCGGAGCGTTTTATTGGTTCTATCAAGCTAAAATTATTCCGAATTTATATGATCCATACGATAAAAAATTAATTTAATTAAAAATATTAATCAAAAATTTGTAAATGACCAACACAATAATCAACTTTGCGTCAATAATTAACATTTAAATAATTTAAATAATTTTTTATATTTATTAAAAATTCATAATGATTAAAGTAAATTTATTATCATGATTAAAATTGATCTAACTTGTTATTTTTTGCAACAACAATTAAAAAAACCGGAAGAAAAATTTAATTCTGTATTTTATTTGTTTATTATCATCATATTACACTTATTACTATTTTACTTTTATTATTAAACAACTTCACAAAAAATAAAACAAATTATGTTAAATTTAACACTTTGTAGAACACCACTCTCACACTCACAAATTATATAAAATCGCTATCAATAACGCAAGCGGCTTTTTTTGACTACTGAAAAAGTATTGAAATTCAGCATAATTTTTTTATTGAAAATTTTTATTGAAAAAATATAACATAATTAAATTTATTCAGATTTACCAGCAGCATTTGAAAATGTTTAAAATACGGGTGAAAAATCCCGTTTTGTTTTGAGCTAAACACACGAATGATAAAATTAGCACTTAATTATCAAATTTATAATAATTTTTTATAGTTTTTACTTACATTCAGAGATAGAAACGTCATCGTTATTTGCTCTAATTATAACGATGTTTGAATTTTCGAGAACTTCACGTTCTGCACCCCTTAATATTTCATCTAAATTGTCATCTGTTATTTCTGCTACAGTGTACCGTACAATTTCATACGGTTGCATCATCTTATACTGTTGTTTGCTATTCATCTTGTTAAATTGTGATTCAATGAACTACTAATCTTATGATCCAATGGAGATTCAGTAGTGTAAAAAAATAACGATTTATAATACTAAAACTATTTACAATTTTATATGATTCATTTATTTATTGTTGTTATCGTAAATTTTTTAATAAAATTAGAAATTTATTAATTTTGAATTTCATTAAAAAAATATTTTGATTTTTTCGATCAATTTAATTATTTTAATGTTGGTAAAATGAATAAAATTTACCTTTTTTTAATCGTTATTATTTTCTAAGCCTAAACATTTGTGCCAATAAACATACACTTACAATTTTGTAATTTAAATTTTAAAAATTAATTATTGACTAAAAATTGGTTAAGCGTTTATTCATAGAAAAACATACATTTATATAGTGATAGAAAATAAGACAAAAGACAATATTCATAGTTCAAATGATCGACACTTTCTTTTTCTAGTACTCCCCGTGATCATGAAAACTATGAAACATAATTAAATTTTGATAAAACATAAATGACCAAATTTGCAGTTGAGAGCTGGCACATCGTGAATGTCGATTATCATTATCATAATAATGTTGTCGCCATATGGCACTATTAGTAAAGTTCCTTTGCCTCTGATAACGAATTTTATAACGTCTTCTGAAATTTTTCATAAATATAAGTTTCATGGTCTAAACATTTGTTAGCTTTTTAGCCTTTTTTTTGAAGACATAAGATAATTCGTAAAATTTTCGATGTCATGACGTGTTGTGGCTAATATTATGATACAAGATTTAAGATTAAGATTAAGATTAAGATTTAAGATTTTAATAAAGGAATAAAAACATTTTTATTTGAAAAAAATCATTATCATCATTAGTTAAAATAACTGATTTATCTTTTTGAACAGTTAAACATTTTCAAAATTCTTTCAAAAATTCTCATCTTAATGGTTGGCTATGGAAAAGAGAATGAGAGAATGTAATAGGTGAATATAATGTGATCATTTTCGATCAACATAATTTAGAAAGAAGAAAAAAAAAATTCTATAAATTTTACCGGTTGCCAGTTTGTAGATTGGAAACTCATAATTCTAAACACAATTAAAATTTGTAAAACAGATTTTTAAATAAAAATGAATAATAATAATCAGTGCACTTACAATTCTGACGTTCGCAAATCAAAATTATATTCCATGTGCTGAAAAATATTATTATTGTTAATATTATAATGCAAATAACAATAAACAGAAGTAAAAGTTTTAAGAAACGATTATTATTCTGTTCTTGTATATTTAATTCGATTATTTCAGTTGTTTGAATAATTTCTATTTCTTCTGTGATAATGAATCTCATTCTTGGTTGATTTAGATTTTGTTCTTGATTATTCATGATTTCTTCTGTTATTTTATCGGATTTTGTATTTTGAAAGTAAAATTGATTCAATCGATTGAAAAATTTTTCAACAATTTAGTGTGATTTTTGAGAGAATTTCTAAAAAAACTATTTACAATTTTATATGATTTATTCGTTTATTGTTGTTATCGTAAATTTTATAATAAAATTATGAATTAAAAATAATAGTAAAATAATTCAACATTTCAACAGCGAGAAAATTTGATAATGAAAAAAATTTATTCAATTGAATTAGGTTAAAATTGGATAGTTTTTGAAGAAAAAAAAATTTAAAATTTGAATTCGGTATTTGTTGTTCATTATGAACATTAATTTATGATTAAAATTTTGATTTTTAACAGATTAGATGATCAACAATCAGTCTACGAGGCAAGAGGCGATAGACATCACGTTATCAGATTTGCCCAATTTATTAACGATGGTATCGTAATCAGAAAGTGAGCGCGCAGCATCACGGGTATCAATTGAAATGGGTTGTACAGTGAATGGTTGACGTGGCTGATCAGTAATCCGACCAGCGAAATCCCAGACGGAATCAGGGTTCTTGGCCGTGTGATAGACATAATCAGTAACACATTTATTAAAACAAAAATCGATCGAACGGGAAACAGGGTGGGGAATGTTACCAATGCGGGACGAAAATTCAATATTGAGATTGGGGAAAGCATCAACAACGATTTGACGTTGTTTTTCGGACAAGCAATAAGGCACGCATACGGTATTCAAATTTAGCGCACTATAATTAGTCGGAATCAAATCACCAACCAAACGAAACATATCATTCAGGTGCGTATCATCAACCACGACAACATTTACATTGCGTGGATCAAAACGCATCGGTACAAAAACATTCACTTCGGTGATACGACTGTGCTCGGTTACAATCATTAATCCAACTGCAATACGTTGGATCGAACCGGGAATGGTTAATTTCACAACGTCGTCCTGAGCTAAAATGACGTTGTATCCGGTAATGGCGCAGAGCGACTGAAGTCGCAACGTAAACGGCGTAGCCGTTGGGCGCAGGAGCAGATCCAGAACAATTTCGATGTCGGCTGATGGGTACCGATCAACGAACTTGGCCAACGATGTTAAAGTTGGCGTAGAAATGGCGACATTAGGTGGGCGAACGAAATCATCAATTTCGAAACCCAATAAATACGCAAATGATAGCTCGACATTAGTCAAGCCGTGGATGATATTGGCGGGGGGGAAGCGGGAACTTTGCGGACGGAAATAAGTCAGCAAAGGGTCAACAGCCTCATAAAGGCGCATCGCATTGAACTGCTGATAAGCAGACATCATTCAATCGTAATGGTTACAAATGGAATAACGTTAGAACGCAAAGACAAGTTATGATAGTTTGTGATTGCGGATATCGTTTTAATGAAATTTTTTTGTCGATTCATTATTGCTGATTGTGATTGTGATTCGATAAATGATGATGATGATGATCGATATTCGTATTCGATGGGATAGTTGGAATTTCGAGTTTTTTTTTCACCAAAAACTATTTACAATTTTATATAATTTATTTGTTAATTGTCGTAAATTTTCAATAGAATTATAAATTTTTGTTTAAAAAAATTGATTCAATTTTATTGAATGAATAAAAATAATAATTCATTCATTTGAATATAGAACAAAAGCTTAATAAAGAAAGGTAGTGACATCATTGTGCAATCTTCAGAATAATCTAAAAACAAATGATGAACTTGTTCAATTATTTGTAAATTAATTAGAAAAATAGTATGATTTTTCTTTTTTTTTCGCAAAAATTATTTACAAATTTCTATGATTCATTTTTGTTTTTCAGTGAACGAACCAATCGAATAAATTTAATTAGGAATTATTTTATATAAAATAAATTTTCAAAAAACATTTAAAATAATCATAAAATAATAAATTTATTAGAAATAAAAAACCAGCAACTTTTAGAAATAATAAAAATAGCTCATTTTGAGCAACAGTTAAAAATATTCCATGATTTCCACCATTTGGTTGGATTTTTTTGACGCCGAATTGGCATCATACAATAATCTTCTGGGTAGTCTAAACAGGATTGAAATTTAAATTAATATAACAGATCCTATCAAATTATTATCAAATTCATAGTGTCACTTACAGCTAAAGTTGTAGTAATCATAATTTTCAATATGATCATCGTAATTTTTTCTTTTCAATGTTTTCATTTCAATTTCGACTACATGTCGATCATTAATTTGGTTTTTTGGTTTTTTCATTTTGATAATGAATTTTTGTTTTGTTCTTTGAATTCGATTCGATGCTTCTATCTTTTCTATTTCGCCGTATTGTGAAAATATGAATTTGAATTTCATCAAAAACTATTTACATATTTATATGATTTATTTGTTAATTGTTTTCCTTTATAATTTTTTAATTTTTAGGCAAGATTCAAGAATTATTTTTTTTCGAAACGATTCAATCAACAATATAATCTATAATCTATAATGAACCTGTTCTCTATTTTGTATTGAATTAACATTTGTAGATCTTATAAAAAATTTGTTTGTAAATTCATTTTCCATCAAATCAGCTTTATAATTTAATGAAATTAATAATAACAATTAACATATAAATCATATAAATATGTAAATAGTTTTCAACGAATGTTTTCAATTTTACTCTACACTTGTTTTGAAATAATAAATCCCCTTCCTTATTTCAAAATGCGATTTACCGTTACGCCTGTGAATGAAGAAGACCTCAACACTCAAACCAATGATGAAGTCATTGAAATGAGTGTATTGAATGGTGATAATGGTGATAATAATATAGAATCCATTGAATCGAATGAAGCTGAAACGGCAATTCTCGGGTGTAAGTAAATTATATGATTTTAAATTTGATAAAAATTTATTAATTGAAATTTTAATCGTTTTTAGATTATCCCGAGGACTACGTAATGATGCCACGAATGGCATCACGATTCGAAGAAATAAATGATGAAGATGAAAATAACGTATGTAATGATTGCATCGAGCTTTTCATCGAAATCATTAATTTATTTGTTGGCATCGTCATGTTTGTATTGAATTGTTATACAAACATTATTGATTATATTTCACAATGAATATATTCATTTTTTTAAATAAATTTTTTTAAATTTTTCTAATCATTTCAAAAATTTGAGTTTGAATTCTTTATTGAAATTGAACTGCCTCTCGGAATTTCAATTTCCAACTTTAAAACTCAAGAAAATAAACGAACAAGCAAAAATTCACAAGAAAAAATAACATGAAAAACAAGCGGCGTGTAGATTAAATTAAAGTGATGTATCAGTGATGTATTAGTGACCAGATGATTGACAACACATGACTACTAACAATCAAGTCAGGGTTCAACAATTAATAATATTATTAATAATAATGATATTTTCCTTATCTTTTAATCTGGACTTGATAATAAATTATATGCAGCCATTTTATTTTTTTTCACTGTTCAAAAACTATTTGTCTGAAAAATTACGATTGATATGATTTGCGGTCAAAAAGAAAGTTTTTTATAATTGCTAATGTTGAAATATAAAAATAATTTTAATAATGAAAATAATCGCAAACACAATAATAATACAATGGTTCAAAAGATATAAAGAAAAGCATTTGAATATATAGAAAATATAACAAAGCATATGACTAAAGTTTATAATAAAGGTTATACAGATTAAAGTTCATAGCAGTTATTTACTACAGCTAACCCTAACTGCGTCATTTGATATTACCAACATCACATCCATGAACAACACAAACACACTGTTTTGTGATTAACTGATAAGTGGATTTTTTCATGGTAGAATTTCATTTTCATTTGATTAGTAACTTCTTCAAAATTGAATTCAAATGACTCATAAATGATAGATTATGACTCAAAAATATCAATTTCATACTCATTATTTGTGAATTAACAGCTTTTTATTTTTATTTTATAAATTTTTCCTTATAAAAAAATTTATAAAATTTATTTGCTTGTAATTTCATTTTTTATTAACCCCCTTTTACTTTAATGAATTTGATAACGATATAAATCATATAAATATGTGAATAATTTTCAACGAATAGAACCTCAAAATCTACACTCCGAAAGTTTTGTAAGAAAACAAAACAAAAAACAAAAATTACAATACCAGATTACAAAAATGCATTTTCCGGCGAAAGATATTAATAACAATGATGTCGATGAATACATAGAATTAGATGTATTCGATGATGTCGAAAACAACAATGATAACGATCCCAATGAAAACAACAACATAGAAGCCCTCGGGTGTAAGTAAATCATTTGATTTCAAATATAAAATCGTAATTTTTGTTTCATATATATAGATTATCCCGAGGATGATACCATGGCGACAAACTGATGATGATGATCAAGAAAATCATATTGATATTTGTGATGAATTCTTCTTCGAAATCATAAATTTATTCGTAAATATTACATTGTTTGTGCTTAATATGTATACAAATATCATCAATTATTTTACACATTGAATTCTTTTCTTTTTTTTATATATGTTTTTTTTCTAATAAAAAGTTTTCATAATTTTTTAATTATCTAAATTATTATTATTTTTTCTTTATTGCTATATCACCAAATCGTCTATGATAAAAGCAAATCTAATCTTCTTGATTTTGCTTTTTGAAGGCGGCAATTTTGGTAGACGATTTTCGAGTACCTTCACAGCGATCCAAGGTTTGA